ATGGAGATATGGAGATATGGAGATATGCAGATATAGATATAGAGATGTGTATATATATAGAGAGATATATATATATATATATATTTCTTTCTTACACTGAACGTTACAAACACAACAGAGGAAGTTGTATAGTTTGTTTCGCTGGTTCAAATTGTCATTTAACTCATTAACTGCACTCGTGCATTTTTTTTTAACCTGTTAATTTTAACTTCTTTACACGCTATAGAACCAGCGTGTGTGTGTGTGCGCACATGTGCATGTGTTGGGTGGGTCTCTGCATTCTTGTCTGGAAAGATGTTTTTAGAAACGGGAGGAAAAAAAATATCCGGTGTTGTCGAGGCCCCTTTGTATTTTCTGTTTCTAGTTCTTTTTTTTTTTTTTATATCTTAAAACGTATATATTTAAGTTTCAGAGCAGTAACGGCTCATTAAGTTGCAAATGGACATTTTACACTTTTTAAACAAGCTAATTGAAATATTAAACGTTTAATTTAAATTATTCAGACATTTATTTGCAGGTGTGACATCAAAAGCCCAAACTCAACACGTGAACGTGTTTTTTGCGTGTATTTATACACGTTTTATTTTGTTCATCTGGTCACGTTTGAAAGGGGTTGGATTTCCAACAGAAGTGCGCAGCTGCGGTGTTCAGATGAGCGATGGTGGAAGTGCTTGTGTCATCGTTGTGTGTCATGGTGTTGTTAGAGAGTGGGGGGGTCCTCTATAAATCGTCCATCTGACCTGAAGAAGGCGAAGGGTGAGACGACGGAGCGTAGAGTTGTTTTTAGGGAGGGGGTCAGAATTTTATCTACGAGCTATAAACGTTTCTCGTCCACATCTTGGTTCAGGGGTGCCGTCGAGCTTTGGTCTTGCGTTAGAAATATACAGAAACCAGCTTCGCCGCCTCTGCGTGCTCTAACATTTCAGGTGAGATTATAATTTTAATCTTTTCTTTTATTCCCCGCAGCGATCTGCAAACAAGGCTGCAACCTGCTACACGGTGGCTGTTCTGTCCCGGGCACATGCGTGTAAGAACGACTTCTTATTTTTATTTTTTCTTATAAAGAAGTTGTTTTTTTCCACCTTCCGCTTTTTGTTTTATTTAGTGCAACAGTTTCTTTCTGTTTTGTGTTTAAAATCTGTCACGTTTACAGTTTTTTTGAGGCTTTTCTTTTTTATTAATTTATGTTTTGTTGTAGTTGGAAGCTTGTTTCTGCAACCAGTGGTTGTTCTAGAGCAGGAGTCTGCAAACTTTCTGATCAAAAGAGCCGTTTCTGTTCATTTGCGCACTAAATAAAATGTCTACGGAGCCGCAAAACTGATTATCAACTGGCCCACTTCAGGTTTGTTGGAGGGGGCTTTCCCAACCAGTAGGTGTGATGTTATGAAACTAAAATATCAAATTCTTATTAATATTTAAATATTTTTATTTTATTTTATTTTAGGGCAAAAGAAAAGACTGGATTTATGTAAAGAAGAAAAAAAAAACAAATATACCGTATAGTTTTTACCAATTTTATAAACATTCAAACACAAGCATGCATTCATAAAGTATCTTATTATGAAATAATAAAGCATAAAGTAAAATTAAGCCAGTTTGTTGGATACGTAATAGAATTTTAAAATGAAAACGCATACTTCCATTTATTTGATTTTTTAAATTTTTTCCTTTAATTTTATTAAGTTGAAAAATCATATTTCTTCTCGGTAACTTGCCTTAAAGGTATCCCCCCCCCCCCCCAACAATTTTTTGATTTTGTTAAAAAGATCACACCATAAGACTGGAAGTGAGCTAAAAGAAGTGGCTAACAAACTACTAGCATGATGTAGTCAAGTTTTACTCCTTGAGTTAGTACTAGTATGCACATGTTGGCAAAATAAATGCCAGGAAAACTGCTAAAACCTAGTACAACAACCAATAGACTTGAGTTTTATGTTAGTTTCGGGACCAAAGAGCCACATGTGGCTCCAGAGCCGCAGGTTGCTGTTCTATGGAGTGGCACTGAGTGGGGAGTGAAAATACCTTGCCACTCCTATTTCCACCCTTTTTATTGGCTAGTTTTTATGCACGGAGCGTGAATCCCCACCCAAATCATTGATGTAGAATTTGCACAGACATGGTTTGACCCGTCACAGGGTTCCCAGGGACTTTGAAAATCAGGGAAAACCTGTAAAAGGACTACTGTCCAGACAGGGAAAGTTCAGGGAATTTGAACGCTGATCTGCTGGTTTAAAGATCTTTCCGAGAGTTTAACATGTACATGTACTAATGCTGGTATTCTAATAGCAATTGCTTGCAGAGTACATGTATCCTTACTGATCAGCTGTGGTGGATTGTTAGTATCTGATAACATAATTATTAGGAAAGATTGCTGTATGCACGTACTGTAGGCTACAATATACTTCCTGTCATCTCTGAATGCGACTCTGTTCGCCACCTAAGGCACCAAGTTCTGAGCGTTTTGAGTGCCTGAAATATCTCCTGGAATTTCTGGGAAAAATCATGGAGATGCAACGAACCTGGAAATTTCTCCAGGTCAGACAATTTCAAGACCTCCCAATCATTAAATCTGAGTCTGAATCTGAGAAAACGGTGGTTTCTGGTAAAGACCACCCGGTTAAGAAGTTTTATGGAATTCAAGTTATTCGTCGTCACGGATGACTAACCTGAATGCATACGTTTAAGATAAAAAATAAAACTTCCTGCATACAAATGAACGTTTTCCCGCTGCTTGGACCTCGTGCCACACTTCTGCTTCCCTAAGAAAAAATGTTTTGGATCTGTCTGCAACAGTTGTGGATTTAAATCCAAACGTCTCCTCTTCACACAACTGAGCGCGGCGTTGTGAAAAAGATGAATTTCCCTTTTCAACCAGGAGCACCTGTACTTGTCGAAGCCTGTTGTTTTCTGTGTCAGCCCTTCCTTCCCTTGTGGGCATCTCCACCTCGCTTCAGAAGAAAAGGGCAACGCCGCGTCTGCCTCCTCGTATTTTTAGCCGCCCCCAAAACCCCTCTCCGGAATACCAAGCGGCTCGTCGGCTCCCAGCGCCTCCAAGAACACGACTCGGCGATGTGTGAATCCGACCACTGCAAAACGTGCTGGGAATTGTCAGATCCCCCTTCCTCATCCGCATTGCAGTCCTCTCCTTGAAGGGCAAGGGGCAGGAGAGGAAATGAATATCCCACTGTGTTATTTACATTCCCCCAAAGTGGAAATGACAGTTAAATAAAGTGACGCCGAACGTCCCGTCCTGTTTCCAGGATGCGGGAACATCCCGTCGTCATCTGTGGAAGCTCCTCTCCCCACCTGCCGGACGTTAAAACACACTTGCCTCCTATTATTGGAGGTGGGGGGGTTGGCTGCGAGCCACGGTATGAGGGGATGAGCAGTTTCAGGAAACGGCTTCACTTCATTTTATTTTTTACGCCGTCCGTGTTCCGCTCTGCAAACGGCAACGTATTCAGAAGTAACGTCAACAGGAAAGACGATATGAAAAGAGGAGCAGCAATTAAAAAAAAAAAAAAGTCTTCCTGCAGCAGCATGAATTTTATGACTCCTCGGGGCATACAAAAAGCTGGCATTAAATCGTTTGCAATCTCTTTTCATTCCCTTTATTTTATCACGCCTTTACGGGCTTTATCGTGTTGAGCCACAGGCTTTTTTAACACAACCTTGCCTGTTGTTACCATGCCCCATTGAGTCCTTTTGTTACACGGCATTAGGCCTGTTCTGACACATTTAGCTGGCCTGCTCTGAAAATCACCTTAAATATGCAGTTTAACTCGTCGCCCGCCGCATTAAGACGGATAGTTGGTTTTGCCCCACTTTTGTAAAAACTATTTTTATTAAATTTTTTCAATTTTAAGCACACACACAACGGGAAACATAAAAAAAATATAAAACACCGCACCCCTTCCCTCCCACTCTGGATCAGTCAAACACATATCTATACAAACTTAACAGGCATTGACATCTACATACAACATAAAGGGTCGCCAAGTGTCCCCAAATTTTTTTACAGAATCCTTTTGGGTGTACCTTATTTTTGCCAAATGGATTTGGTTCATCACCTCTTACCCAATGTACATACACCAGAGGGGTGTGAGTCCTTGCACTTGCACAAAATTAGCCTCCTGGCCAAAAGAGAGCCAAAGGCAACCGCATCTTTCTCGCATTTGCTGAAGGATGTATCCCCAGGGACCACCCCGAACAGTGCGATGAGTGGTGGTGGGTGTACAGTTTTACCACATATTCCAGAGAAAGTGTCAAATATAGATTGCCAAAAAGTATGCAGTTTGGGACAAGTCCAGAATGTATGCAGAAGTGTAGCTGGAGTTTGTTTGCAATAATTGCATGCAGGGTCCAGGTTGGCCTTGATCTTGGACAGTTCGTCTATGGACCAGCGCAGCCTATCTTGAATTGAATTACAGCATGTCTCAGGCAGACCAAAGATGAATGAATGTTCTTAATGATCCGTTTCCAGATTGAGTCTGATATGGGTTCTTCCAAGTCCGGTTTTGCCCCACTTTGAGCAAAATATCTCATGAACCACTGGACGAATGTTAATGAGACATTCAGGAAATGATTAGATGCATGTTCAATTCAAAATGGTCACCGTGGCGTATAAACATTAGCTGACACAAACATGGCTATAACTCAGTCAATTTTATTGGTGTTGAGCCAACGTTGGACGTAGTAGTAGTAGAGTTGTCCCACGCCGTGGAGCGAAGAGGGGGAATTGGAAATGCCCTCCATTCGTACAGCCATTTATGTTGTGAGCATAACGTGAAAAATAAGTGAGTTACTGACGTCCATTTTGATGTGTGGCTGCATCTAGGTGTAAATGGTAAATGGACTGCACCTTTCTATCTTATCAAGACACTCAAAGCGCTTTACAACACAATCTGTGCCCTCATTTACAATTCATACAGCACTCTACTAGATGTCTACAAATCTAATTGAACAAATCATTCTAAAGAGACTGATCAGTGCTTTATCACATTCATACACCGATGGGACGCACATTGGAGGCAATGAGGGGTTCAGTGTCTTGCCCAGGGACACCTGAGCATGTGACTGCTGGTGGATTCAAACCCCCAACTCTTGCATTGGAGGACGACCGCTCTAACCACTCAGCCACGGCCGCCGTAAGAAAGGTCCCAAATAAAGAATTGTGTTGCCACTTAAAAATCCAGTCTAGAAAAACACCCAAACTACAAACCTTCACTAATCAAGTCCCTCAGCAACAGAGGCGTCAGCTTGTTTAACACATACATGGGGCTGAGATGGGGTAGAGGCAGGGCAGCCGACTTGGGACTCGAAAGTCCCAGGTTTGATTCCCATTCATTGCACATCTCGTGGTGTCTCTGAGCAGGACACCCCATCCCCAATTTCTCCCCGGGTGCTTTCAATAGCTGCCCACTGCTCCACCTGAGTGTATCCCAAGTGTGATGGGTTAAGAGATGGCCTTTATTGTCCCACGGATGGGAAATTCAAGTGCAACAGCAGCAACAGATAAAAAGATTTCACACACAAGTTCCTAAATGTTAATAAACAATACATTATATAAAGAAATAAGATAAACAATCAATAATAATGTTCAATATGTGTTTGAACATTGATAAGGACAGACTATTTACAGTACAGTATTATAGGCGGAGTGTGTTTTAGCAGAGGTCAGCATGTATTTAATCCTTATTGAGTTTGTTGGGAGCAGCGATGGTTGTAGAGTCTAACAGCTGCTGGGAGGAAGGACCTGCGGTAACGCTCCTTTGTGCTTATAGGATGCAGTAATCTGTCACTGAACGAGCTCTCCAGTTCAGCAGCTTCGTGCATGGGGTGGGAGACGTTGTCCAGCAATGATGTTATTTTAGCTAGAGTCCTTCTGTCTCCCACCACCTGCACTGGGTCGAGGGGGCGCCCAAGCACCGAGATGGCCTTCTTGATGAGCTTATCTAGCTTCTTCTTCTCAGCTGATAAGCTGCTGCTCCAACAGACAACACCATAGAAGATGGCTGAAGCCACTACCGAGTCAAAGAAGGTCTTCAGGGGGTCTTAAATGCAGAGAGCCAATTTCACCATTGAATGGGAACATACAACGATGACGCACGACGCATTATTATTATTATTACATGAAGCTTTAGATCTTTGTTTTGCACAAGATTTGACTTACCGGTACTACAAAATGATCTTGGTCTAAAACGGTGTCGTGAAACGCTGCAACCTTTTTTGATTTTATCAGAATTTAGCAAACGCTGACACGAGTGGATGTGCTGGAATCCGCCGCTGATATTACGCATACAAACATGAGGACTTGTTGAGCAAACAGCGTGTGGACATGAGCCAAACTGAAACCACAAAACAACTCTTTTTCAATAGTTCTTTGTGTTATCGCTCCCTTGCTGCCAAAGCCCTCTTGACGCTAATCACATACAGTAGACGAAGCAGGCCAAGTATTTCCCCCCCGATGCCTTTCTGCCCAGGAGTGGCAGGTTTCCAACAGCCTCGTCTCCGAGAGGCAGCGGTGCCGTCTGCAGGGGGCTCAAAATAGCAGTCAATTGACAAGACAGCTGGCTCGACGACACCGCAGCCTCGGAATAGCAAAGCGCCGTCCTGCAGCAGGGGGACTGTGAACACAACACTCTGTGTACACACACAGTTGTCTCGCTCTCTGAACCTGTCCGCCTCCCTCGGAGCTGCCACTCTTCCTCACAGCCGAAATGTGGCCTGAGCTCGAGAGTCGCTGGAAGTATGTATTCTTAACCTCTCCTGCCCCCGAATGTCACCGCGCACCAGGATCGGCCGCAACACGTGTGCACTCACGAGCAGATAAAATATTAGGCTTTTTTTTTTTTTGTTCGTTTTTTTTTTTTTTTTACTCTTGTGGATTTTTCCAAGAAAATGTTTCTTTCTTTTGTTTGAACTTTTGATACTTCTATGAAATAAGAGTTTTGACAGCTTGAAAATTAGTTCATATTTTTTTTAACAACTACAGAAACTGCATTTCCTATGAAAATGCGGTGTGAATGCTTATTGCTGAAGAACTTGCTGGAAAAACAGCTGAAGCTAGCTAAAACATGCTGTAATGTAGCGGAGATGGAAGAACACACCTATGTTAGCAGAAGTACACAGAAAGAACACATATTTGCTGAATTAGGTTTAAATAAGCAGAAATGAGCACAAAATTTAGGAATTGGCTAAAAAAAAAGCTGAAATTGGCAACAACAACAAAAATTGCTGAAAAGCAGCTGAAAATGCAGAAAGAAGCTTAAACTACCAGAAGGAAGTGGAAGGAGCTGAAATGAGCTAAAAAAAATGTGGAATTGGTTGAAAAAGCTAAATTTATTACAAAATGGCTAAACAGTAGCTGAAATATCAGTAAAAGCTTAAACTAGCAGAAAAAAGCTGAAAGGAGCATAATAAGCTGAACTTTGCAAAAAGAAGTTAATTTGGCTGAAAGTAGCAGAAATTACCATTTAAAAACTTGAATTTATCTGAAAACGGCTGAAATTGGCTAAAAAAAACCTTAAAGTAGCAGAAAAAGTAGAACAAGCTTAAATTAGCAGAAGAAATCAGAACAATTACGTTTGCTGAAAAAAGCAGAAAAGAGCAGAAAAAATGTGAAAATGATCTGAAAACGGCTGAAATTTGCTAAAGAATGTTTCAAAAGCTAGTTGAAAAAGAACAAACTTAAATAAGCAGAGGAAAGCAGAAAAAACATGTTTGTCCAATTAAGCTAAAATAAGCAGAAATTATCACAAAAAAAAGTGGAAATTATCTGAAAAAGGTTAAAGGGGGGGGGGGGGGGTAAAGTAGCTTAAAAGGCAGACAGAAGCTTAAATTACTAGAAGAAAATGGAAGCACATATTTGCTGGATTAGGCTGAAAAAAGTTGAAATGTGTAAAAGTTGTATAATTGGCTGAAAAGGCATAAAAATGCTAAATTGTACCTAAAACAGAAAAATCTTAAAATTGCGAAAAAAAAAGCTGAAAGAAGCATAACAAGCTGAAATTAGCAGAAAGAAGTTAGAAGATGCACAGAATTGTTTTAATTAGCAAAAAATATCTGAACAAAGCACAAAACAGCTGAAAGTAGCTGAGAAAATGTTAAAATTTGCACAAAGAAGCTGAAAGAAGCTGAACCAGAACAAAATGTGAAAGGAGCAGTAAAAGGTTGTAAACACATCTAAAGATCTGAAGGATGTAAAATGAGCTAAATTCATTTTCTGAGGGGAAAAAAAATGGCAGAAAAGGCTAAATATTTCAAAAAGCTGAAGTTGCTCCAAAACAAGTCATAGCAGGATTGTCCTGAAAGAGCTGAACATTTTGATTTATGAATTATTGAAATGGCACAAAAATTGTGGAACGAGAAAGAAGCTGAAAAACGTACGGAAGAAAAATGGATCATAATAGTGTGAATGCTTCGTAAACATTCACACTAAGGTCTTATGTCTGTGAAACAAAAATGCTTTAAACTGTTTTATTTTTTATCTTTTTATGAAAACTGAACATTAAACCTGCTACAATTTTAAAAAGTTGTGCTCGTATGTTTTGGGTCTATTTTATCGTCCTTTGGCTGTAAAATTAATCCAAACTTCAACCTGTTTGACACGTTTCACATTTCTTCCCAGAATGCTTTGTTTTCTTATCAGAGGTGTAATAAGACATTTATTCCACACGATAAGACAATATTTTAACACTTAAGAATAAAGATTTTTCAGCCAACTGGCCTATGATTTCTCTCGACCCTTCAGATCATAAAGGATGTCCAACTCATTTAGACAAGGGTCCAAATTTTAAGTCTTCTGAAATCTTGTTACAGCCTTAAATCCTGCCTTTATATCCATAATAGGAGATAAAACAATGCAACATCAGTTTATACTTGTGTTCCAAACGTGTACTTTAATAAAATGGCTGCAACTAAAACAAAAAAAAAATGTCAGTTCATTTTTATGTTTATTGAACTGTCAGCTGACTGTTGTAAGCAGGATGACGCAAAATCCACATAAACTCTTAAATCTTTGTAGATTTACAGTTTTTTTTTTTTGTTTGTTTTTTCTTGGAGCCAAAATTTCTTTAAACATTGTTTACTGATAAACAAAGCAGGGATGTGTGGGAGGACTTGGTAATCAAACATTACTTTAGTTTGTTTTTGTTTATACCTTGTGAAAACTTCACTTGATAAAATTGCTCCGCTGAAAAAGAAAGTAATTGGAGGAAGCTGGCTCCTTGGTTCAGTTCTGAGTTACGCACTTTAACATCTAAAAAGCAGGAGAGAAAATGGCGTTCCACCAACGTTGAATAATTTTATTTAACTTTGATGGATAGCCTGCTAACATATAAGAAAGCTCCCCGTAAAGCTAGAACTTTATATCATACATCTTTAAAAGATGAGAATAAAAATAACCCTAGGTTTCTGTTCAGTACTATAGTTAGACTAATGAAAAGTCCCATCTCTGTTGAACCATGTATCCCTACAACTATAAGTAGTGATGACTTCACAAGATTCTTTATAAATAAAATTATTTCAGAGAGAAAATTTAAACCAACTTTCTACTACCCCTGGTCCCCTGTCAGATGATGCAGCTTTAGAGATATTACTGGAGCCTGGATTGTGTCTGGACTGTTTTTGTCCTGTTGAGCTCTCTGAATTGTCAAAGAATAATGGCTTCATTCAAACCATCCACATGTCTACTAGATCTCATCCCAACCAAGAGGTATTTCCTCTAATTGATGTCCACATTTTGGATCTGCTTAATTTGTCTTTAATGAATCGTTACGTGCCACAGCGCTTTAAGGTTGCTGTAATTAAACCTTTACTTAAGAAGTCTGACCTTGATTCAGAAATTCTAGCCAATTATAGGCCTACAGTATATCTAATTTAACTTTCATCTCAAAAATGTTAGTTACTAATTGGCTTTTTTATATACAGTATGTGAATGTTTCTGTTAAGTGCCCTGAGACAACTTTGTCATAAATCGGCCCTATATACCATAAACTGAATTTGTTTTGTTCAAATTCTTTCTTTCTTGACTCTGGGGCTTAGTACATTTACTGTGTGTAAATTGTTTATGTTAGGATGCTAACTCCACCATACTGAGGTTACGCTTTTTGTTTAGTTTTTGAAGAGTCTGGCAACTCATTTACAATGTCAATGACAGCGGTTCATGCCTGACTGGTTGTTTCGGTGTGTTTTGGACAGGTGTATGTATGGCTGGAATGGCACGTTCTGTGACCAGTGTATTCTCCATCCCGGATGTGACCACGGGACCTGCACCCTCCCCTGGCAGTGCAACTGTGAGAAGAACTGGGGCGGCCTGATGTGCGATAAAGGTCTGAATTATCTGGTGCTGACATCTGTGCTTGGATCGGCCATTTTTGGTTAAAGAATTGTGCCTGCCGATTCCTTAAGTTCAAAGTTTTTCAATATAATTTGGTCAACTTTGAGCTTGAAGAACCCCTTCCTTTGGGGAAAAAAGTGTTTTAAACCTTAACTCGTCGGTTTGGTGAATTTTGGTTGCAAAAACCGATAGTGTGGGTTTATCCTTGGTTTAAAGCAAATGCCAATGGACAGAGCCTTCAAGGTGTCACTCGGTGATTTTGAACTGCTAAGTTGGTCACAAACTTTGTCTTCAGTCAGAAGTATTATGACTGAGATCAGACCTAACCGTAAATGGGGGTCATCTCTCATTTCAGCGCTATTTTATCATAAGTGAAGAATTTTGCTACAAATGGAAGCATTGTCCCCCTTCATGGAGCAAAAAGGGGGAATTGAAAGTGAAAAAGTGCTATGTTTCATCATTTTATGTTTCTATACAATGACAAATTTTGTGCTCTGCATTTAACCCATCACACATGAGATACACCCAGGTGGAGCAGCTTATAGGTGCCTGGGGAACAGTTAGGGGTCAGTGTCTTGCTCACGGACACCACGACATGTGGACATGGCAAGGATTTGAACCTGCGACTTTCTAGCATTTGAGGAAACTTTTTTCTTGTTTTTTTTTGCTTAAAATTTTTTCAACTGGTCGTGGTGACCCTTGGGGTGGCAGAAGATGAATCTGTTGTAGCCAAGACCACCATTGGCCACCTCCTGGCTCCACCACAGCATCTGGTGGTGGATGGAATTGCTCCCTTCGCTCGCCAGGATCCGTCACTCCTCATTGCCTTTGACAAGCAAAGAAAAAAGCCCTACCACTGTTCTACAGTGTAACTCCTGCCCAGTATGTTGCACCAAAAACAATAAAGTTTACTTGCTTTCCCTGTTCAGTTCCAGTCCAAACACTCGTCTCAAAAACTTCATTCACTGTTCAAATCCCTGTGACGGGGGACATCGGTCTACTGCTCGTTAGTCACATTAAATGGTTTTGGTGTATTTTATTGTGAAGGCATCTCACTTGTAACGTCAACCTCAAGAATTCTAGAATTGCACCGCTCGGGGTGGCTGCATGTTGGAGTAGCTCTGTTACTTTCATTCTGAGATATTCCTTTTGGAAACTTTAATTCATCTTTTTCTGGATGTTATCACTTTTTTCGGATGACCGTTTCCTCTGGTATCAGGTGCTGTGCAGCTGGAAGGATTTTCACTGAAACCTTTTTTTTTACTTTTGGACATTTATGATGCGTAACCATAACAACAAGGTGTTTGTTTGTTTTTTTTGTTTTGTTTTTTAACAACTGGGAGCAGCTGATTAACACATTAAAAGCTCAAATAATATCTCAACTACAGCCCCAAATCTCATGAGTTGAAAAGGAGGCTCCGTGGATGCATTCCCGTCTACCTGCCAGGAAACACTGCTTGTGACGGCAAAAGGACCGGGATCATCCCAAACACCTGCAGCCGGCTGTCCCCGTACGGGCCACCAGTTGTAGACGAACAGATGCTGGGATGTATTCATCATTTAACGCGGATTCCTCATTTTTCTGGACTGAATAAAACGTGCATTGAATTTAAGGAAATGCAAACGTGAGACGTCATTTAAATTTGACCCATCAAAATGAATGCGGTCATTTATTTACAGAATCAAATTTAACATCAAACATTTACATTAATTTGGCAAATTATGAAAATAACAACATAAGCAATCAATCAGGAAAAATCATACGGCCATGATTTTACCGTTGCTGCACCACAGACATTTATAAACTGTACAACTATGATCTTTTACCCACACGAATGTGGGTAAGCACTTTACACAGACCATTCCAGAGGCCTGCCAAGTTGCTAGCAACCAAACCACCACAGTACCGCCACAGGTGATAAACCTAATGGTGCGAATCCACATAATAGCTGGACAAGCTATTAGCCATAAACAGGCATACTTTCAACCCTCTCTTGCATTTTTCAACTTGGGACTGTCCGTGGAAGCCACGAACCAGGTGAGTCTTGACTCCAGGACCACATCTATTGCTGTGTGTAACACTGGCATGGATGAGGTGCTGATCCCAAAAAAGACTATGCTAGGATGGTTGATTTCAACCGACTTTCATGATTTTGAACTAGGCATTCCATTTCTGGGAGGACTCCCAGATAACCTGGTACCGAGTCAAGAAGCTGGGCCAGTATGGTTCACGGAACCAACACAGGCCATAGCTCTTTTCTCAACCAATGATGTCGACCAAGGACCTCAAACCTATGGTGTTTTACCCATAGACAGGCCCGACGACTCAGAAAGGGATTCGTTGGAGCTCCCCAAGGAGCAAGAACCCTTATCAGTCTCATCACAGATTGATCAGGTGGTCGCACAAGCCGACGCTCTGACATCTGATGAAGAAAGAGACAAACTACGCCAAGTTCTTTTGAAATATGAGAAGTCATTTGCAACTGATTCGACAGATTGTGGGTTGACCTCACTCCACGCAGTGAGAATCCCAACCCCACCCAACGCACCGCCAACATTTGTCAGACAATACAAGATCCCTCTGGCAGCATACCAGCCTGTCCAGGAGATCATTGATGACCTTTTGGTCAAAGGTATAATCAGACAATGTAATAGCACCTACTCTGCGCCTCTATGGCCAGTTTTAAAACCAAATGGTAAGTGGAGACTTACCATAGACTACAGGAAGCTAAATAAACAAGTACCTTTATCCAGGTGGCCAATGACTCAGCTCCATCAGGAACTGCCAAAGGTCACCGATGGTAAGTACTTCTCGACCCTCGACGTCGCCTCTGGTTTTTGGACCATCCCTGTGCGCGCCGAGGATCAACACAAACTAGCTTTCACTTTTGGCAGCCGACAATACACCTTTACCAGGTGTCCCTTTGGCTACGCTAACTCACCTGCAGAGTTCAACATCTTTTTGAACAAAGCATGTCCAGACGCCCACGAGCGTGGGACACTGATCTACGTGGACGACATCCTTTTGAGACAGCCGACACTGGACTCTCATTTGGCTGAGATCGACCACGTCCTCGATCAGCTAACGACTGCTGGTGCTAAAATCTCACTGTCGAAATGCCAGTGGTGCAGAACCAAGGTGGATTACGTTGGCCTACTAGTAGGTCCGGACGGAATACAACCACAGTTGACTCGCACCCAAGGCCTAGACAACCTCAAAGTCCCAACCAATCTCAAGGAACTGCAGAGTTTCTTGGGAGTGTGTAACTACTCTCGCCAGTTCATAGAGCATTATGCGGATCTCGCAAAACCACTGACTGAACTCTTAAAGAAAGACGTTCCTTTTGTCTGGACTGATACACAGCAGCAGGCAATGAACGCTCTTAAAGACAGGCTCAAGCTAGCCCCATGTCTAGTCTACCCAGACTACAACAAAGAGTTCTACTTGGAAGTGGGCTTCTCACCTCACTGCATGAGTGCAGGTCTGTACCAAATACACGACAAAGACAAGCGTGTTGTGGCCTACGCCAGCAAAATGATGGCAGGCCCTGAATTACGGTATTCAGACTGTGAGAAGGCTCTATTGACCACTGTGTGGGCAGTGAAACATTTCTCCTGCTATATTGGTGGACAGAGGATCATTGTTGAGACACAACACCAGCCAGTAACGTTTCTGAACAGCCAACGCATCAGAGATGGTGTGGTGACAAACTCACGTGTTGCAACATGGCTTATGGCACTTCAAAGTTTTAACCTAGACATCCGCTACGGTCAAAATAAGAAGTCACACTTGGGCACTGATTTGGCAATCTGCCAAGAATGTACACAGGATGTACCAGCCGCCCAACAGCCGGTTGTGAGTAAACCCTCAGCTGCTGAGGACCCAAATCACCACTTCTTTGATGGCAATATCTGTAAAGATATGGCGACATTGTACGTGGATGGATGTTCATTCCACCACGAGAAAGTCTGCAAAGCAGGTGTTGGAGGAGTTCTCCTCCAAGACCTGGAACAGGTCACATTTGGCTATAAATTGGGCTCTCAGTCTTCTCAGTACGCTGAGATAGCTGCAATCCTAATAGGCCTACAGATGGCAGTGAAACGCTCCATCCAGACGCTAGTCATCTGCACTGACTCTAACTATGCTCGACTCAGTTTCTTGTGTCATCTCGCTCTGTGGAAACAGAACGGTTTTCTCACAAGCAACAAGAAGGTGGTAAAACACAAAGAGCTTTTCATGACATGTGATCACTTAGTGACATCACATGATCTACAGATCTTCTGGAAGAAAGTTCCAGGACACTCTAGAGTCCCAGGCGATGACAAGTACTACAATGACCTTGCAGACTACCTAGCCAAAGAAGGAGCCGTTGACGGACCCACGTGGTCCTTTGACCCCTCCTGGCTACTCAACACTCAGTCGTCACAAGCTACAACTGAGGTAATGGCAGTCACACGTGCACAAGCTGCAGCTAAACCTGCTGATAACACAGTTTCTGTGCGCCCAATGCTGACTGACCCAGACATCATCCAACTTCAGAAGTTGGATCCTGCAATTAACTCGATGATGCTGTATCTGACTGACGCAGACAAATACACTCCATCGAAAGTCGAGCTGGACTCCAATCCAGACCTCAAAGTCCTCTTTCAGCTGCGCAAACAGCTAAAACTACTCAAGGGCATCCTAACTTTCGCTCATGGACGGACGTCCTCACCTGTGTTCGTGGTCCCCCATGACCACAGGGGGGTGATGTTAGTCCATGCACATGACCTTCCGTCCGCAGGACATAAGGGTGACAATGCCACGCTGAAAGCATTAAAACAGATTGCTTATTGGCCTGGAATGAAAAAGGATGTCAAGGACTACATAAAAGGGTGCCTGATCTGTGGCCAGTTTCAACCATCCAGACCACTTCACAGAGCACCACTGCATAGTAGAGGCATTGCATTTCCATGGTCGGACCTCCAGATTGACTGGGTCGGACCACTCAC